TTCTAACCTTAATGGTTCTATGATTCTATTTCATCATTTTGCTGACTTTACTAGTGTTCTCGTAAGTTCACACCAATTGAAGATAATTTTGCAGTGTATCTAATATCTAAAAAAAGACTTCACATTTTTAAAATGTGCTTATAATCTAGTCTTGCAGCCAGGATTCGGTTTATCCTAGTTTGGGAAATTTATGGAGATTCTGATTCTGGAATATTACGCTGGAATTACTAATTCAGATTAGGCCTCTACATTCTGTTGTAGCAGTGTGTTTCTCTGATTTAAACTGGACTAAGGCTTGCATATTTTGAAATAAGGAAATCCACCTGGATATCCAAAAATAACTATTCTGGAATGATTATTTCAAAACAGCAATTTCAATTCCATGCGTTGGCAAGGCCTTCTGGACACATTAGCACCTAATAATAGTTTAGACCACATTACTGGTTGTTAACTTGTATAATATTAGTATACAGGAATCATTATTCTGCTATGTAATGATAGCCACAGTGTTTTATTCCCAGGAAAACAGGTTCGTACTAAGTGCGACAGTACTTCTGAGGAAGCAACATCTATAGCCAAGGAAAAATAAAGGAATGCAACAGTGGTTGAAATACTTAATCCAGTAAGTTCTAGGAATGAAATAAAGCACAACCAAATTTGCAATAATTGTTTTCTTCTGTTAGTTAATCCAGTACCCCTCTTATTACTGTGCTGCTACAGTTATCTTCTGCGTATGTACAGATTGCGTATCTGATGGTTAACAACGAAGCCAAAATAAAAATGACGGAGTACAGAGAGAGAAAAGTCAGGGTTACAGTAGAATAGCTATGATAACATTACTTAGCAAAACAATCTTGTGACCCAATAATATTTTAAGCATATAATGTAAAAAACAATACTCAAAAATTTCCAAAAGTTGTTTTCTTTACTCCAGAGAAGTCACTATTTGTACAGCTTTTAGCAGATGGCACTATTTATTTACTTAGACATAACATCATAGTAAGATTAGCTTTCAAGCCTTCTAAGTGTGTGAAACCTATCTTCCATCAGAAATACCAACTCTTGACCCTTGCTTGGTAAGATTTTGCAGAACGTTGGGCTGATACAACTTTTCATTAACCCTACTTTCAATACTGATGCACTGAAAACTCCAGTACAAATTATTACATCGACAAATTTGCCTCAGAGAAATCACTGCCATCCAAGGTTGCTTTTGAAGGCTATAGCTGCCAATAAAAGAAAGCCGACTGGTTCTTTGTTTCAGGGGAGGGAGTCTTTACAGATCTTACTCCTTATTACAGTGCTTAGGGCCTTCAAAGTAAATAGCAAACACTGCAACTTTAGGGAATTTAATAGTTATCTTATGATAATCATTCTATTTATCTCGCATTACAGTTAATTAGCGGGTATACAAAAGTCAGTTGTGCTTTATGCTTGGCCTATTCAACTCTGAAGAAGTACAGAGAGCTCGAGAATTCTTAGTGAAAATAATAGCTCCAGTGAATAATGTTGATGGTCTTCTGTAAAAGTTTGATAAACATGTGTGAATTAGAATACCCAGGTGATAATAACCTGGTCAAACCTCAAGGATTTTCCCCAGGGAGAGCCGAACTAAGGTAACTGCTCTGCGGTTTCCTCGTGGAGCATGAAGACACCAGGGCTTTTTGGAATACTCTAAGAATTCACATGACCCAAACTATTTTTCCCTAGCTAATTCCTGAAAACAGCAGGATTATGACAGGATGTTTTAAACTATTCAGCCATTGGCAGAAGTCTGTGGGATACCCCCTCCATGAAAACTCTCAATCCAAATAACTAACATGGGCAACTCATAAACAACGAAAACATCATGGTGTAATGGAAAGTGCTGAGCAACCCAAACTACAGGTGTTACAACAGGCTCTGCCTGTGATATGGTCTGCTGTCACAGCAATAAAGTGTACTGAACTGCACCTAGAACACCAAAAAAAGAAAAAAAATCAAATTTAGTCTCCAAACATAAAACAATATTTTCAAGGGCCTTAGCTAACAGGGTCTGTGGGAGCGGAGCCATGAGCTGGTAGAACAGCACTGTCTGGAATCAGAGGGAATGTCTGTCAGAGGCAATATCATGTCACAGAAGACTCCACCACAAGAAAATGCTGGAGGAACAGATTTATAAGGAAATACGAATTAGCTAAATATGTACAACATATCAGAGTGATAATCAAGGAGACATAATAAACTACGAATAAAAGCAATAACCACATGCTTTAGAGGCTGGTACGTGAAGATAGAACAAGGAATAATGAAATAAAAATAAAAAATAGACAATCTGAAGAAAATTATCTTGACATTGAGATATTAGCTTGTGGAACAGTCTGCTGAGCAGAGGGACTGAAGTTGCATTGTCTGAAACCCTTGCAATAAACCTAAACAAAAAGATTAGAAAAGATTAGATGGTGAGCACTCTGCCATTGACACAAAAAGGCAGGACAGATAAGTTCATACATCTTCAGCCTTTTGGGTTTTTTAAGGCTGTTATTTATACTCAAACATGCTCTATTTCTCAAAAATTATGTGAAGTAGATATTAAAGACTACACATGCCCTTGATCTGGGGAAGAAACTCCAGTTATTATTGATGAAAGTTCAGAATATAACCTTGGCATAGCTATACAGCCTCAAGTATGATAAATGTGAATAGATAAAATGAAAATAATCCAAAAAAAGAACCACAATGCCCCAAGGCATTTTCCTTAGGTAAGGTTTACTCATTACTCTGTTTACCCATTGCTATAGTATGGAAGTAATAGTTGGCAACATATAACAAGAATGTGAGTATTAAAGCACCCAGCAATGCAGTGATTTAAGTTTCAGGTGTTTCATTACCTAGTGAAATTTATAGCCCCAAGTAAGGTATCTACACTCTCTCCACCTGTAGAGAACCAAATATGCTTGAAATCCAGCATAAACCAAGAAAAAACTAGTCAAGCCAAAAGTAAGTGATAGGTGAGAAAAAGATTATGTCTGCGTTTTCCAAACCATCTGAGTCTCTAATGATAGATGACGAGGAAATGTCTTATTTCATCTAGTTCACAGCTGTAAATCCTCTCCTTTCTCACAAAAATAGAGCTAGAATTGCTGGTAAACTCTTTAACCAGGAAGAAAGCATGGACGGTAACCCTTCTGGTGCAATGGATCTTTAATAATTCCAGGCAAAGTGATAAAACTACAAAAGATATGACTGAAAAAGCCCACAAGTAATAATTTTATCTCCTTTTAAGTAAGTCCTTCCAGTGGAAGACGAGACTTCACATACCTCTGGGCAGAGGAATAAATTATCATTTCAAAAAATTTAACTACTGTTCTACTCAGTAAAATGGGAACAGCACCACTTTTTTTTTTTTTTTTAAACACTCTTAAAATCTAGTCAGTTAGACCCCACTGCTCAAAAAGGGAGAATGCCTAGCCTGCAGCTGTGTATGAGGTCTATGATTTTAGACAGTGGTCCCACCCTGCGAGGGCAGAAGCATGTTTGGGTCCTGCAGTCGGGATAGCACTGATCTGCCTCGGGAATTGTCCTGACAGAAGCACAGGTACCAGTTAAGCAGGTGCTCTGTAAGTCTCACCTCTGGATTTTGGAGTTCACATCTCACTAATTACATAATAAGGCTGCAGCCTTGAAATGTTTCAAGCAGAGTGTAGATTTGGTGTAAATACGGGACACCCGTATTATTGAGCTCTCTGTGTTTACAGAGTCCCTAAGAAAACAGAGGATACCAGCCCAATCTCCCTTTCTGAAATACACACATCTGCTTAAGAAAACATGTTTAATGTCTTGTACAACCAGAACGGCATAATCATGTCATATTCAAGAAAAGAGAGAAGCACAAGAATATGTCATTATATTTTTCGTTCTCCAGATATACACGCATGCACCCCTCTCTCTCCCAAAATACAAGTCCTCCACTTAACGAAAAAGAGGAAACAAAACAAAAAGGGCTACAGGACCACCACACATCCCGTTTCAACTCGCTAAACCAAAGAAAGGTGAAACTTGGTCCTATGTTGGCCCCTAAACCAACCAACAGCTTGAGGCAGAAACTTGCCTATATACAACTTTTCCTTAAAGTGAGCTTTGCAGAACCTCTAATGGGGCTTTGAGTGTCCTATCACGGCTATTTTAGCAGAAAATACCTAAAATACGCTACATAAACAAAAGGGGCTGGTAAAGAACTGTAATGAGGAGAATCGCCCCTTCCCTGGTCTACTCCAGCTTCCCAGGGCACAGATTTTCCTCCAGTCTTGTTCTCAACCCGGTAGCCTTTCACTGCCTCCTGCATAGCACCAATCCCCATGTAGAGCCAGGTCCCTCGGAAAAGTCCTTCCACTGCCTCCGAGCCGCAGCTCTGCACCCGCGTCCTGCGGTCACCTCCCTGCTGTGACCGCGTGCGTGTCCCCTCTGACACCCAGAAACATCTCCACCTGCAAATGGTCGCTGCCTTTCACGGGAGGTGTAATCGCTCTGTCTGCTGCACAAATAACGTCTCTGCGATCCTGACTGTAGCAGCCAAGAAAGGCAACGTAAAACAGAAAAATTGTGCTGAATTACTGTACCACACTTCTATCAAAGGGAAGATATAACCAATTAGATGAAATTAACAATCTCTAATAACATATGTTTCGCAACCCAGAAGTACTTTTGGATAACCTATAGAAAAAGTTGTATGTTGAACTTTAAATTCCTTAACTAACATAATTCAGTCTAAAACCAAGTGATAATTTTTAAGTTATTTTCCTTGTTTGATTGAACAACTGTTAGTTGTGTAACACTTTCACGTAGTAGGATATTTACATTTATTATGGTTTCCTGATCCAGCACTACCTTTAAATAGCCACTTTTCCAACTAGTCTTAGCTCTCAGTTCATCCAATCTAGTCTTCTTTCTGAACCCACAGAGATAATGTTTACTCGGTTATAATACAGCTTAAAAAAAACCCCAACTTAAATTTGTCCAAGTTTCAAGCTTTAAATATATTAAACCAGCAGCTATATTGCACATTATCAGATACTTGTTTTCTACACAAACCATTTCTTACTGTTTCATTTCACAATTCAGAATCTGTCTAATGACACTTAAATATCAATATAATTCCTTGAGAGCCTCATCTAGTCCTAACAAGTTAGTAAAAGAAGTCAGAGACACTTCTGATAAACAGTGTACATAGAAAGTCATTGCTGAGAGAGGTAATTAATTTGGATTCCTACTTAGTCATTTTTCCTTCCCATTTTCTTCAACCCCCCGCAAGCATTTTTCTCCAATCAAATCAAACTAGCTGATTCTTCATACCTGTATGTTTTGTAAAAGAGACATCTCTTCAGGGGGACCTTAATCACATGTTCCTGAAGGCCCACAAAAAGGACACTCTGGCTGTGCAGGATCTGAAGGCTCCTGATGGGCTCTCGCTGACTTTTCGGCAGGAGCTCAATTTCCTCGAGCAGGCAGCTGCTTGAAGTCTGGTTCATTGGGGCAAGCACTTTCTTAATAGTGCCATAGTCTGCAAAGGCAAGAGGAAAATGAGTTACTAAAAATCATACTAACAATTCTACCTACTTGGTGTCATTCAGTGAACAAATCTTCGTCCCATGCCGGATGTTTTCAATGAAGGGAGTGAATGTGGGAGTACTTTGACTGGAGTTTCCTAAATTACTTATAGTACAGTGAAAAGAACTTGAAAACAGCCATTAGAGTTTTCTATGTGATGTAATACAGTAAGAAATAATTTTATTAGTGCAGAACAGACTTCACAGCAATAGTTACTAGAAAACACGCTTTCAAAGTCTGGCTATTATAAATGCACATTCACAGCAAGGGTTATTGATTTCAGTTTATCAGATTGTACTACACTTTCCTGTGTTTAAAGCAGTTTAAAAAGCAATAAAGTCCATCATTGCCCCAGTCTGTTTTAAAATTCTATGCGTTAAAAACTATGGGTTTCAGATATGTATCGCATTCATTTAATAAAGCACATATGCATGAATATCTGCAGGTCTTAATTGAGTCTAGGTGAATATAACAATAAAACGAGTCTGCGTCCCTTCTTATCTGGATTTTGACCTCTGAAAAATCATACCTTTTAGCATTTGCTCTTCGCTTCTATTCTTATTGTGATTTCTAAGCAGCATCACAAACCAGTGTCAGACGACTGATTAGATTTCTGATTCACTCATGCAAAGTTTTTAAATAATTTAAAAATTATCAAAGAACATTTGTTCTGAACACAAAGGACCACATTCTCACACTGATAAATATTTTAGGTAGCTCTCTGACCAAAACTGGATTATGCAATCTTCTATGTGCCAGCAATAGTAAATATTAAAGATCCAACACTGCAAACACATACTGAGATCAGCTCTTACTGACGTGAAGTCTCGAAAGACTGTAACATCTCTTGTGAGTCGCTAACAATTGCAAGACAAATGTTTGGGATGCTCTGTTCTGCAGCCCAGTAAATATGGTTTTTGCCATCGCTAGCAGGCGGCCAGAGGCTTGGTGGGCAGCTGGCAGCGCGGGCTCTCAGCATGGTTCTGGCCCTGCCTTGGCGAGAGCTGGTTTTAGCCGTGGCAGCAACTGCCTGGTGGCCACGTGCCTGTGGCCTCCCCTACGTTGGCTTCACTCTGGGAGCGCCCGGGGCAGGGGGCTGGCACCCCTACGTAGTCACTGCGGGACAAGCAGCCCCTCCGGGGTCGTGGGGCTGGGGGAGGCAGCGTGCGGCTCCCAGACTCTGCCTGGAAGTAGTGAGGAACAGCGAGTAAGCAACCTTAAGAAAATACAGAAAAGCAGCCTCAAGCAGACTCCAAAACTGAAGAGGAGGTGGAGAAACCAAGATGCTACTCACTGTAAAAGTCTCCTCCCCCTTCCTGAGGAAGACTGAATAGTCAACCTGAAGACCTGGAGAAGTACTGGAAGGGGGAGCATAACACCAAATAACAGGGGGAGTTAGTAGGATGTTTATATAAAAGATTTTAACAATATTATTAACAAAACTTTAGTAAGTAGATAATATGGACTTAATTTTATTAGTCAAAACTAATTAGATGAACCATAAATGCTTAGCTCAGTGCATTCCCCTTTGTCCATAACAAGATTTTGAGTGTAACAGATCATGTCTGTGTGTTAAAGTCTTCTGACCAACCTCTCAATTCTTAATATAATCATTTCATATAACTGTTTATATTTTTCTCCTTTCTTGGTATAAACAAGCTTGTCAGGATTTACTGTGTGTAAGAGTATTTGTCAGAAAAAAACTTTTATTAAATGACAATTTTAATTGTCGTTAAAATTTAACCTTTTTGATATAAAAAAAAATTCTAATTTGACTATCACTTTTTTCCAAACAGCCTAAAGTAGAGTTATATCCAAAGATTAATTAAACCTTTGCCAAGAGTCAGTTTTGTCTCACAATTAAGCGATAACCAGCTCAACCGAAGAACGTAACAAGCAGTGTTTCCACTGGCGACTGCTGGATGCAAAATCTCAACTACAATGACAGCAACTTTCAAGGTCAAAATATGGTCCGAGAAGTGCCCAGAAAAAAATCAGTGGCTGTATTAGTTAGTCACTGAGTGAAAAAACAAATGATTTTTTGGAGCACAGAAGTGGGAAAAACGTACTAAGAGTAAGAAAAGAAGAAGCAGTGAGATTATTTTACACACATAAATGAGTTGGTATCATTTTATAGATCAGTAAGTACAACTCTATATCACTTGTCTAACTGGCAGCCAACAGATTCAGTATGATTCATGATACATTGCATTTGGCTTGCCATCTTTTTCCTGCATGAGTCAAAAATCAGGTATGCATTCAACATGTGCTTCTCGTACAGACTAGTATTTCTTCCTGCCACTGTGCTGGGTCTGGCATCTTTAGACTAAGTCACTTGCTGTCATCTCCCCAAAGATAAAAGAGAAGAAAAAAAACATGACTGGAGGCCTCCTTCCCCCATGCCTACATACACATTTAATTCAGAAGTGCAGCTTTGGAGAAGAGAATATGATCAAAACCCAAATATTTTATGTTTCTTTTCTCCTCAATACATTTTTTTATTGTAGAGGGCAGAATTACCATTTTTTTATGTCCAGGTCTATGACCTGGAGAATATGGTTACAGCAGCACACTACCCTACAACGAAATAAAATATTCTCACTTTGAGAACTGCTGCACTAATGCCTTCCCCAGGACAGCTGTCATTGCTCTTGTTCTTCCTTCTGATCTTGGCATACAGTCTCCGTTCCTCCCATTTCCTTTTGCTTTTTTTCATTATCTCCCAAATCATTCCTTTCCCATTTGTTGTCTAAGAGGATCAGCACTCATACAGAAATGTCAAAAGTCATAAATGACTGGGCTTTAAGTGAAGAAGCAGTGCCAGAGATCCCACAGATCATTAGGAAGAAACACCACCCTTCACAGCAGCAATGTGGGTCATATGCAAGTTCAGTAAAAAGGAATAAAATGTCATCCAAGATCTACCTCTGCTTCAGTAAACTCTCCTACTTCTGACCTTCTATAACCTATCTCCTCTGCTTTAAATTCCTCCTGCCTATGACTCTGATTTTGCATGGACCACCTGAGAGCCCAAATGAGGGTGAGGATCTGTTTTCATTCTGCAACTTTGAGACACACACAGCTTGAATTGGCGGCTATGTGCATCAGACTATGGTACGTAGCAAGGGTACATAGCTATCGACCTCCTCAAACTACACTAGCAGGTAATACTGGCTATACCAGGCTTCCTTACAGTGGAAAATCATAGCTGTTGCATCAGTACTTTCCAAAGCCAGGTGCTTTACTCCAGTGTTTCCAATTCTACTACAGTGTGTGCAACATTATGCATCCAGCCTCCAGCAAAGATTGCAGATTTCCTAAAGAACTTGTAAAAGTCCCATCCTCAAAAGTGTTCTCTGTTCAGCCATTTTCACAGCACAGTTGCAAAGCAAAATAAAGAGAGAAGCAGGGAAAGAAATGAGTCTTGAATACAGCTTTGGGGCATGGAGGTTTTCAGACCTGTCAAAATCTTTCAAGTGAATATTGACTTTATAATCAAACTAACTGTCCACTTCTGCCAAAAAATAGCTAAGAAGAATAGAAAACACAGACCTTCCTAATGGATGTAACTTTATTGCCATGGACACACGAAAATTCCAGTTTCATCACAAATGTCAAGGCTGAGTCCAACAGGTATTCAAGAATCCAAATGAATGGCATCTTCGCATCCTGAGCGTAAGCAAGACATGCTGGAATAGATCCAGACACCCGACAGCCTTCATTTAAGGGGGATGGAGTATATACAGGAGTAGTAAAAGATAATGACATTGGCCAGAATGAGTAAATAATGTGCTTTGTTAACTTGTACTGCTATACTTTTAAAGAGACCTGCAAAACCAGCAACTGAACATTAGAAATCTAATCACTGTGAATGAAGAGGAAAAAAAAATTCTAGTTGAAATATTACTATGTAATGCATAGGAGACTATGAAGAACTGAACAGAAAACCTGAGATGGAGTTGTAGAGAACAAGCTTGGAGGCAACAGAGTCTGTAATGAACAAAATGATAATGGGACAAAATCAAAAGATGATCTCTAAAACTGAAAAGCAAAGTTTAAGACGTAAATGGTATAAAGCATAGCCAGCAATGGAGAACACTGCAAGAGTGTGGTTGAAATCATTATAACTTCTATGGTGATATTTCCTTTCCTGCAAAGGAAAACAGAAAATGAACACACAAACAAATGGCAGACGCAACAAACTAATAAACCTGTAATTTCTTGAGTTTCCTAACAGACATAAGAACACTCAAAGAAGCTGTAGCAACTTCTTGCTATGGAGAAGAATCAATATTTATATGAGCTATTATGTTTACAAAATATTGTTGCACTCTTCAAGCAAAAACATCTTTAACAAATCATCCAAAATGAGGCAGTACCGAAGCAAGTTCATTTCACTTTTTTAAAAGAAGGGAGAAAACCCTCTACCCATTCCTTTTGGGGAGGGAAACACTTTCAGTCTTAACTCTTGCCATATTTAACAGTGGAACAAAATCTAATTTAATCTTCATTTTATTGTAGTTTAGACCAACCTTGGAGAGAGGGTTGGTCTCCAGAAAGCAACTGAACCAGCACCAGAACACAGAATCCAAGTTAACGTTTTTCAGAGGAGAAGTCTACGGTATCATCTTGCAGTAATGTTGCAAAAAAAGTCACTGGTGCCTTCTAAACTATATGAGTTGCCAGCAAAAGAAACTTGTAATAGTCTCAAATATATCCTCAGGCCAGCTGTATGCCTATGTTTGTGACTTTACAAGTATTCCTATACTTTGTGAGCACAATAAGGTGCCTATATGCCTCCCTGCATACACCAAGAAAAACTCAAGGAACAGCAAAATTGATTGCAAATTATAAACTAAGAACAGTCAAGGTAAAAAAGGGCCTATTTTGCAATTTCCCCACAAAATACTGTTTAGAAAAGCAAGATGTCTTAAGCAGATACAAGATTGTGGT